ATATCGCGCCTTGGAGGGCGAGAAAATATTCGAACCGGGCAACAAGCTGCAACTTGAACCTGTTTTATTTATGCGCTCGCTTTGGGGGACGGGAGAACGTTAATACACGTCGAGCGATCCATTTTCGAAGTGGCCGGATTTATTTCGACAGCACATTAATGGCGGTCCTCGTGGTCGAGATTCGATCTTTCGTTTCACGAATTTATTAATAGAAAACGTATAATATATATCCAATAATCTCAAAATCCGTTTAATTAAAATTTTCTTCTCCATTTATTTATAGTAATTTATAGTAATTGCTATTTTGCTTGGAACTTGCAAATTTATTTCCAGTAAGAATTTTATCTCAACATCTTGCCAATTCTCATTTTTGAATTATCAGCACTGATGCAAAAAATGGAAGAAGAGTGCAAAGTGGAATATAAAAAGCATCGAGTGAAATCGTGCCGTCAAAAAGACGAAGGTAGTAGCCACGACAAATCGAGTTATGTCGATATGCAAATCGACAGATCTGCATCCATTTCCTTTTCTCGAATAGGCGAGTAAAAAGGTAAACTGAAACGAACCAATACATCACTCTTCTCTCTATGTAATTTAACTATCGACTTGTTTTCTAATCGAATATTATTCGTAGTCTTCTTATAATTATTACGACTGATGAATAAAAATAAAAATAAATCGAATAAGTTTTAATTTTAAATCTTATTTTACATAGAAATCAAGATGCAGCAAGATATAGAGATAATATTTCCAGAATGGAAAAATGGAGAGATTGACAGAATTTCCTTGGGAATTTCTGATTTTATACATTTTATTGATTATCTATTTTAAAACAAAATGCAATTAATGGTTCTAAACGATTTTACGACACAATTTAACACAATCGCGTTATATTTCCGTTGACATAGCAAAAATCCAATTGAACTTTAACTTTTTTATTTGACGTTTATTGCAAAGAGTATTACACGGAAAATATATGAGAAACGGCGAAAGGATATATGTAAATTTAAGAAGATGGAAATAAGGTAAGTAAATAAACTAAATACGGGGCAAGGATCCCCCTTACTTCGAGATACATACAACTGCGCTTCGGGTCAATTTTCCCCAAGTTTCTCGTCACACTTGTCTTCTTCCCAAACATACACCCATAATGCGCACCGTTACAAGTACACCCGCATTTACATAATACCGAACAGATCCTCTTCTAAGGACCTAACCGAGACCCCGTTCAAAATTTCAAACGAAACTTTATTTCTATAAAGAAGACATTTATGTAGAATCCTCTTTTCCCTATACGGTAAATCCTCGACCATTAAACTGACGTTAAAAGCGTGTTTGAAAGACAATTGCGGCCACGAATAAAAACGTGTCTCTTATGCAAGAACGACCATCTCCTCTCAACTCGAACGTTTTACATAACATCTAACGAGGTGAATAATTTAAACATCAGATTCAATTAACGAAGGCCTCCTTAAATTGCTAATAATCACACGGACCGTTTAATGCGGTATATTCGGATTCAGACTATTCAATTATTCGGAGTTGCAGTTACGCCAATTAAGATTTAATTTAAATCTAGATAAATAAGTCTCGAGCTTCGTTATTTTCGAAGTAATCCGAAAAAGAAAAGGCCAAGTATCGAGCAAGACAACCGAGTAAGAGAATATCTAAAAGCGAATTTCGAGAATCGTCAAGTTTGTGGCTACTTATTGAGAATACAACAACACTTGGAACGAACTTTTACTCGTTTTATTCTCGGCGGCATTCTTATCCTAAAGTAAATCTTATTGAAGTTTCGATCATTGAATCTGTGTCGCTATCTATGTGACGTATTTTGATTAATCCATAAGAAGCTATTGTTACGCGAAATTTCATTTGCAAATCTCTTTTGGTGATATTATTCAATTTTGTTTTCTTTTAGTAAAAGTGAATTTCAAAGAGGTTTGCTTAGCCTTTTATACCTCAAGATTTGGAAATTTATACAAAGATGCAAAAATAGTTATTAAATGAATTTTTCTAAAACTTATTATTTTACGTATAAATATAAATATTTAAAAATTTTCTTAAATACTTTCCAATTAATTAAAACATATGAAATTCTACCATGAAGAATAATATTAATACTTTCAAGATTGATATTTCTTCTCCAAACTTAGAATCTTAGAATTTTTTCCTTATTTGAAATTGAATTGTTTATAAAGCACAAAATAACTAATACATTATCTACAATCTCAAACATTTTCTATATATTATCTAATATCACTTTCTATTTTTCCATAAAAGAGAAAGATATAGTTCAGTTTATAAATTTTCACACATTCTCCTCTAAAATAAATCAGATATTATTCCACAATGCTTCGTTTACTAACCAATCGTTTCATTCAATCTCAAGTTTCTCGCGGGATTGACGATAAACGGAGAAAATAATCTTTATTTTTAGAAAAATAATTTTAGAGTGCATTATACGTGTAGCGCGGAGAATCAAGCATAATTTACTTAAACAACAATTTAGCTACGCGAAAAGATTAAGAACTTATTAAGAAATTTGAAAGCTCGTGAAAACTTTTCACTTGAAAATTTTATCCCTTTACGACACTTCCCTTTATCAAAAATCTCGTTTCGCTTTCATCATCGTGTTACGATTACGCGCCACTTTTTTACGTGACTCCCGTATCCAGAATTCTGTGAATTCAGCAAACGTTTTCGTAATTCATAAAATCGTACGTGGGATGAATTTCGTTCAACGTCGCTCGTATACACCGCGCGTATGTAAATAAAGTTTCGCTTGTATGATTAATTACCGCGTAAATAGAGCACGCAACCCTACAAGCTAACGATATGGTAAATGTGTGTACGTCTCCTCATAGGTTAAACATAATTTAAAAAAAACCTGCGAACGCATAATTTCCTCGCGAACCGCGTTGTTTCACATCCCCTGAATGCAATGAAACGAGAACGAATATCAATGGAATTCATTATGATCGTTTTTCTTTGAATCTATACCTGATTCGTATAATCGAAGATACTTCATATTTTATCACTATTTATCAGTCGTTTATCCTCGATAATGATTATCGGTGTCGGAAACGAGAGAAAGAAACGAATGACCAAGCTCAACGAACTATTTTATCGCGAATTTATATTTGAAAATTATCACCGTTGCTTCCGTTTTCTCTCCAGGGAGGAACGAGAAGAAAATATCGAATAATTTCAGAATTTTCCCAATGATATACGCATTTATATCACGATACAAAAAGATAATTCGTAGAAAAAATTTGAAACAATTGATTATTTCTATTAATATACCAAGCACGTTATCCTGAGATATGTTATATTTCCCGCGATTATATAAAAATTTACTTCTATTCTTCCTCAATTTTTGTCGAATTTTATTTATTTTTCTTTCCGTTACTTTTTACTAAACGAATTTCTACGATGCGATAATCAAATTAATTACAATTATCTAATCTAATTAATACTATTACCGAACATTCTTCTCATCTAAATTATCCTAACATATAGCATGACAATCGCGATATCGAGCAGAGACACCAGATCGCCAGATACGCGAACAAATCGCACCACGATAAATAAGGCTGACCCATTTAACGGAGATACTCCTTGGAGGGAATGAATGCATTCCGTATTCCGACGTGGTAGCGAATCGCTTTATAGAATCGTGTCGCGGTAGAAACATACCAATTAGCCCGTTTGCATGGCGTGTACCGTTTCTCCGCCACGCGGGAAATACCCTGGCAAAAACGTTCTTGAGACACATCGTCGCGTTCAACCCTCGTTTTACGCTTTACCCAACCGGCCGCGACGGATGCTGTAACTCGTGGCATGGAATTCACTGGGTTTGAAAACTGGATACGCGAGCTTTTCACTGGGAAGAAAATTGCAGTTCACAAACTTCTGAAACGAATGATCTCGACTCATGACGACCAATATCAAAATTTAATTTAGTGGAAATCGAAAAAACTTGAGGGCAAGTCAATTGGAATAATGAATTTATATTATATCTATTAGGAATTTGTTTTTCCACGAAATTGAATATACAATAACGATTCATTTGTGTCTATTTTAAATATCATTGTGTAAAAGATAATATTATTGTAATTATTATTATTTTTTTTTAATTCATCGCATCATATTTTTAACGAAGATATCTTTATCATTATAATGTAACTATAACCTATCCTTCATATTCGAAGAGGCGTACATTGGATTAGTTTCATTCAATAACCTTGGAGAAATTACAGATGATCCTGCTCAGTCATAAAGCCTCTTGAATTGAATTCAAAATCTCCCGATGAAAGTGTTTTCCGTTCTCCTCGAATTGAATCCCGTTTCAGAAACTTTCTCATTCTCGTGTTATGCCGATTCCAATAATTGGACGAGATCGTTTGCTCTCTATTTGCGACATCTGGCTACAATTTAAAATTGTTCGTTCACAGAGAAAGAATTCCTTAATGAATCGTCTTCGCAAGCGTATAAGATTTTTCAGAGAACGAGATTTTATATACCATTAAAATTTACTTCGAAAATAAATAATTTAATCAACGCGATCCATCAATACGATCAATATATCAATATTAAAAACAAACATGGAAAAATTCAAAATTAATTACGCTTTGATTTGAACTGCATAAAGATCAGATTCGATGATTTAAATATAATTACGAACACATATATACATATATCTATGTATATATATGATTAGAAAATATTTACTTAAGAGATATTGGTACATACAATGGCTACAAAAACTAGTAATTTATATATATTATATAATATATTTATTATAGCAATTATATATTATAAGAATTAATTAAATTCAATTAAATATAAAAATTTTATATAGTATAATTTTATAAAAATGCTATAAAAATAAAATATCGAACATGTTAAAAATATTTTTACGGAAAATGGAAATTTGTATAAATATTTTTGTAGCCACTGGATTACTTTCCAAAAAGATAAAACGATCACGTTTAATGTTTATTAAAAGAATAGCTAACTCTATCTCTATCTAATTTAATAAATTCATTCCTCTGGGATTAAATACAATTTCGATAAAGTAAATATTCTCTCGATCTTTTTGAATGATCATGAATACACTCTATCCAAGTTATCGGGCTCTATTTTCTCATGAATGCATCAATTATTATTGCAAGAACGAGCCTGAACGTTGATCACAAAGTATTTGCCATCGTGAATCTTCCTCGA